GTGATGTCTTGCGTCTAGAAGGCAAAAAATAGAGGGCAATTGGTTAGGATTCAAGATTGCAGGATTGACTCGATATTATTTTCAATATATATGGTTTAAGTGTTTGAACAGTTGTTTGCGAGGAAAAATGACGGCGGTACCGTCCTACATCTGCAAAAAGTTGGTAATGTTAAATGAAAATTCTGGTTGTTCTGATGGTTGTTTCAATATTGAAAAGGGTTAATAAATTTCAATAGTTTTGAATTCTAAACTTCACTGTTATCCACATTTATCTAAAATTGAATGTTATTTATTTAAATAAAGTCGTTCGTCAACAATATCATCTTAACTTCTATATTGTCCTAGATATATTTTGACCTTTGCATATAATGAAATTTTCAAGTTTAGGTTGCAGTATGGCGTAATTTTCTAGAGTGGACTTACTTTAATAAATTGAAACCGTTTCTAATTAAACAGAAACACGTCATTCGCTTAATTTTTAAGGCCATTAGGCGTACACCTATTAAAGCAGATTTGAAACAAGAACAAAAAAATTTGCTATGAATGTAAAAAATTGCCTTTTTACTTTTGACCATTTTTTCTTTGGAGGTGCTTTGTCGTACGTATGCTTATTCCATGCGTGCAAGAAATCAGCTCCATACTAAGTAGGATGTTATCCGATTTATGATCCGGGATGCATAAAATTTTAGTACACTTATTCTATTATTCATTATTTTCTAAACAATGGTAACTTTGTGTGTATAAATAAATTTATTTAATTAAATCTAAATCATTTCATTTTATAACAAAGAACACAGTAAATATATTGAATTTAATAATGGACATCTTTGTATAATAGATTTCACATCCTTTTACTATGATTGTTTTATAAAATAACAAAAAACAAACACACAGGACTTAAAAGATCAATTAAATATAATATTATATAAGAGAAATATTAAGGATTTTATATGTATTCATTAAAGATTTTATATTCTTTTAATTTTTAATATTGTTAACATTTATTATATGAATTATTTATATGTGATAATCAAAAAATAATACTATTGTATGAAATTTATTCAAGATTAATGCATATTACAAGGAGGAAATCTGATAAAATATTATGCATCAAAAATTACAATTTATATATGAATTCTGAGTATAAGTGGAAAGTAAATATTGTACGACTTTGTTTATTTGAAATATTGAATATAAACAAAAATATATTGATGAATATCTAATTTAAACACAAAACAAATAGAAAAATATTATTTTAATAAAGTATTGCATACAATATCGAAGAATTATATAAAATGTCATGATTGAAATAAATTTGAATTCCCATGAGGAATTTTATAGGAATTGTTTCAATATTGTGGAATAAAAAACCTACACATATTGGCAAAAGGAATTGGTTTTTATTAATATTGAATTTTTTCATTTTAAACTTAAAATACATGGCGGCCGTATTGAATAATTTTAATAAATATCTCTATAAATTAATAAAATTACTCTACAGTCCATAATGTAGACTGTAAATCTAATAAAATTTAAAATGGAAGCTGAAATAGTGTTAATTTTTTCGAAGCCTTTTTCGATAAATTCATTGCCTGTTTGGTTTTTATTTAATTTAATTATTTTATAAAATTTCAAGCGATCTATTGATATATTATAATTTAATTATAATTAAATTATTATTAAATTATATTGATACAACTTACATACAACTTCGAAAGTTATTTGGTGGTATATTATAAAAATTATATTGAAATTATAACGCTGAAATTTGTTATAAACGATAAGATAATATAGCGAGTATTTTCAGTAAAAACCTTTGTGATAGCATGAATTTGTGCGGCAGCTAACATATTATATGTTTAAAGTAGCACTATACATATAAAGAAAACAAGGTCGTGTGGAACAGTATGATAATAGCAATACAACTCTTAAAATCATTCATTCGGATGGGTATCACAAAGTTGAGACATTCAACTCTACCTAATTATTGTAATCTATAAGTAAATCAATAAAATTACTAAAAATAAGCTGACTATTCCGGTCGTATATTCCTTTTTGTCTAAAAATCAATTTGATTAATTCACTTTTAAACAAAATTTGGGAAATTAAGACACTTTAAGCTAAAATTTTCTTTACAATTTCCTAAACACTTTAAAAATTTCATATAAGAAAAAAAAATTTAATAATTTTTTAAGTATAAATAATTTTTGTCTACTTTAATAACAATTTTTATTTTAAAAAATTCTTAGAGAACTTAAAAGAAAATTTTTATCTATAAATACTTTTATTATTTATTTTTACTACATTAATCATAAAATCAGTATGATACCATTTAAAGCAGGTACGAACGCATATACATATACATGTGTGTACAATATAGGTCATAAGGTGAAAGATCACGATTTGTTTTTTTTAAAGGGTATTAAAAAAAAAAAATTATAAAAACTGGGGCTGATTTTAACGAGATTTTTATTGTATACTGATTATACGTATATACTAGATAAAAACGTGACAATGTTCATATCTATATAGGTACCCATAAATAATAAATATTTAAATCTCTTCCACTTTTTAACAAGTGTCATCCCTATCAAAAATATTTTAAGAGATCTTTAAATTTTATACATATATACCTACATATGACATTAAAATAAGCTCAAATTAAACCTCAATAAATTTTTTCTTTCATTAGACAAAAGATGATAAAATTAAATAAAGTTATAATATAAAGTATATAAAGCATTTAAGAGGGATAAAAGAAATTCTAAAAAAAATTTACTCGTGTATGTTGAGAAAACTTCAAGATTCTGAACATTTCAAAAATAATAAGAATTGAAAACGAAGAAAAAGGGATTGTGAGATTTATAAACATAGGAACACTTTTGGTATTACAACTGATGTGCGTTTAGGTTTCTTTTCTGTTTTTGTTTTTCCTATCCACCTACCCATAGAAGAGAATAGCAAATATAATAGAATAAGCTTAAACGATTTTGTAATTCAACAGTCTTACATATTATTATATTTTTCTTTAGGGAAGTATCCTTCCTTTTCAACATTTTCAAATAAAAAAGAGAGGAGCAAAAATAAACAAAAAGAGCAAAAAATCATCTTATCACCTTTTCCCAAATGTATTTCTGATGACATTTCATTTTATTTTTTGTTCTTACTGTTCTTGTTTTATCACACTGGCAATATATAACAAAAATATTAGAAAACAGTAAAATATAACAAAAATGTCTTCTTAAAATATAAAAAAACCAAAAAAAATATATAAAGGAAATAAGTGTATGGTAAAATATTTATAAAAATAAGAGAAAAAGAAAACAAGTTGGTATTCAAATCAAGAGTTTGGGAAGAAGAAATTTTTTGTTACGAAATGCAATTTGAACGAGAACAATTAATTGTAAATTAAAAAATAAATTTTAAATTTCAAACGAGAGTAGAGAATAATTATCTGTTGTTAAGAGCACTTACAACACTGATGTAATGAAAATAGAGAGAGAAAAATAAAGAAGAGCAATTAAATTACGTATCTGGGGTAAGAGAATTTTTTTTATTACTCTCTTAAATTTTTTAATAATGGTCCTCTGTATAAATAAAACTTTTATTCATTTGCCATTGTTGTAATTATTTTTCATCTATATATATACATAATATGAGTACAGCAATTTTTTTTTTGAGATATAAACTTTGAGGTGTCTGTCATCTGTGTTTTGTTCTAATTATATTTTTCACAAAAATCATGAGTGTATGAGAAAACTGAAAATGATATTACTGAAAAAATAAATAGTGTTAGAAAAGATCGACCGATCAAGAAGCTTTTAAGATTATGTTTAGATACTTTTGGTGCTAGTTTGGTTGAGTGTTAATTTGATGTATTTTAAAAATGTAAACTCGCAAAATGTATACAAATTTGAGTTTTTGTTGCAAAAATAATTAAATGAAATTTAAAATAATATTTGAAATTCCAATAATTTTATGGAGTGCATAAGTTGAAGTTTTAAATCTTACACTACGAATTTAACTGTAATTTAAAGGATATGCGCTGCAAAGTCTTCTTTTTTGAAATCTGGCGTTACCTCAAGTAATGCAAATAATTTGAGAGTTATTCTTGAATTATTTTACAGTAGTATTATAATAAATTTGATTTTGACAAATAAATTCTCAGTAATTGCAAATGCAAAGCACAATTTGTGATGTGGGATTCTTTGATATGAAGAAAATAAGAAAGCTTACTCAACAATTTGTCTAATTTTTATAAATTTTATTTTAAATCTTTCTAAAAATAATAAAAATTAAAAGAAAAATTTTTATACCTTCATAACATGATTGAATAAATTATTTGAATAAATTGAGACAAAAAATTGTATTTTCATAAAGTCTCTACATGTACAATAAGTAATACATATGGGCACATATTCTTAAAGTAGCTCGATACAAATTCAAAAAAAACAAAACTTAAAATCGTAAAAGTGAATAAGAAAATTAGTATTATAGAGAAACCATAGAAATAAAATTGAATAAAAGTAAATCCCTTTTATCTTATTTAAGAAGTAACAGTACATTATATTGGTATTAGTAAAATAATTTTACTCAACTTGTGTGGTGAAGTTGAAAGTCATTTTTATTTACTTTAATATTTTTCTTTCTTCTTCCTTTCAAGGCATTTTGAATTTTTTTTTTTTTTTTTTTCAAAATATATTCATAAAATTCCATAATAGTTATGCAATTGTGTATAAAATTATCCATTCATATTAAAATTTTTAAGCAGTCACAAACGCAGATGAGATAGAGTCAAAATGACAAATTTTAAAAATCTTAAAAAATAGAGAAATGTTATTCTGTTGTTATTATTGACCGCATTGAATACAATAAGGGAGGTTATGTAATTTCGGATTAAATATTCGGATGTATTATACAACGGCACTTCCGCTGAGGTTCCAATAAATACGGGTATTCGACAAGGAGACAGCCTTAGCCCTATTTTGTTTAATGTTATAATGGACGAAATAATAAAAAAGGTGAAATGTGCTGGCCGCGGATACAAAATAGGGGACAATGAAATAAAATGTGTATGCTTTGCTGACGATGCCGTTCTGATATCAGATAGCGAGGATAACCTGCAAAGATTGGTTTATGCATTTGAGAAAGCCGCGGAGGAATTTAATATGGAGATATCAGTAGAAAAAACTAAAAACATGGTAATATCCAAAAACCCTCTGCGATGTAAGCTTGCAGTATACGAAAAAAGCATCGAACAAGTGATGGAATTTAAATACTTAGGAGCACTTATAACATCATCACGTGATCTAACCAAAGAAGTTAAAACACAAGCAACTAAAGCATCATCGATTTCAGGTTATTTAAAAGATGTTATCTGGAAAAATAAGCACATGAATATTAGAAGCAAAACCCGCATATATAAGACATGCATAAGACCTATAATCACTTATGCAATAGAAAGCAGGGCAGACACAAAAAAGACCGAAAATATTATGAGCGCAGCGGAAATGGCTACATTAAGATCCATAACAGGTTACACCAGATACGATCATAAACGCAACGATGAAGTAAGAGAAATTTGGGAAATTCAGGATATTGTCAAATGGAGTAGAAGAAGAAGAAAAGAATGGAATCAGCATGTACAAAGGATGTCGCCAGACAGGGTGGTTAAAAGAGCATTCATGGGGAAACCCAGTTCGTGTAGACTTCCAGGAAGACCACCGAAGAGATGGCAGGAATGCTGGACTTCCGGCTCAATGTCAGATCATCATTAACAAAAAAAAAAAAAAAAGAAACAAATATATTATATTGTATCAAATAAATTTATGTATATATATAATGTATGCAGTATACATGTATTCATATTCTGTACTAATGTTATATATTATGTTCAACGCTTTTGTAAATTAACAGAGCAAGGCTCTAAATAAAGAAGAAGAAGAAGATATTCGGATGTCGAATTTTCGGTGGAAATGAACTTTTCCATGATAGGAAAGCGTAATTTAACAATTTCTAGAGAGATGTCCGTCTGTCTGTATGTAAGTAGGTCGGTCTGTGTGCGTACGCGTGTATTTCAAGTTCAGCTGAACCGATTTGGATGAAATTTCATATGTAAGTTTGATTTGGCTATTTTGGAATATGTAAATTTTATATTTTTGCTCATTTAAAAAGAAATAATCAACTAATTTCCGTAAAATTTAATATCTAAATTTGAAGTTAAATTTTTGGAAAAATCAGAGCACCGAAACCGAACTGGGGGCAGATTTTAAATTTTTTACCATGTCTACGTTGAAATTTCTTGAAATTTGATATTTGAGTTCTGGTTGCTAACGAAACTACCAGGCAAACTTTTCAGAGAATTCAGATGGCACAAAGTGAAACTCTACTAAAAGTCTTTATATAAGATATAATATTTGAAATTTTTGAAATACTTTAACTTTGTTTAAAAAAATTACGATGCATTCTAGTATACTCGTATTTTAAATTTTCAACAAATTCACTTTTGAATGTAAATTATTGTCTAATTTACGAGGCTGTCAAAATATCTCTATTAATACTACGCTGGTTTAATATTCATGTAAAACGTTAAACTATAAAATTCCCTAAGATTTTAAAGTTCTCTGTATTCATATTAATTTGATAATTTAATATTTTTCTTAAAGTTTGTAATATTTTCTATTTTCAAAAACACAAAGAAATATAGAAAAAAAATATTGTCCTCAAAAATCTATAGAGCCAAAATAATTTTAACGTATCAATATCAAAATTCTCATAAATTGATTTTTGACAGGACAAGCCCCTAGATATTATTTATCCTTTATAGACAAAGATTTCTCTAATAAAATGAAACCTTTACCGTAATCAAAATATTGTTGTGAAATTTTGTTTTTTTTTTTTTGCCATTTTCAAAGTGGGTGTTTAACTTTTCTAAAATGAAAAAAAAAGAACAATATGAGAGAAACAAAAACCACTTAAGGAAAATATTTTTTTTCTTTCAATTGTTTGATGATAGCGATGATGATAATGGCTTGATCTATTATCGCTGTTATTTTGAAGGAGCAGACCTTTTTCGAATTCAATAATATATTCTATGATTTGTATTTTATTTTCTTATTTATATTATTGTATGTATATGTATATGTACAATGAAATATGTTTTAAAAAGCAAAATAAATAAAAGGATAAAATGTAAGTTTTTTCTTTATATTTTTTCAATATAAAATTGAAATTTTCTCAGGCATATCACTTGAAAAAGAATTACTTTTAATATGTTAGGAAACAAAAAAAGGAGACATGGAATTTTCTTTTATAAACGCTAATGATAATTTTTAGTGGAGAAAACAAAAACAAGTTCTTTGAATTGTTCAATTTACTGCAATTTCGATTGAATATAATAAAATTTTTAAGGATAAAGGATTGAATGAAATCAATTTTGAAAATAATTTTATTTCGGTCGCCATTTTAACGAAAATAATGCAATTTTAGATTTATTTCATATTAAAATTCAATACAAAAAAGGGGTTTTTGGCTATATACTTCCTGAGTTTAGGGACGAAATAACGATATTCTTAAAATGATATACGAAATCACATTATTTACTGGAATCACTTTTGATTTTATAAGATTTTTACTTTTAACGAAAATTTATATATGATTTAATTCCCAGTTTATATCGTCATAAAATGAACGTATATTTACTGGTGTGATCAACATATGTGCAAGTAAATTTGTGTATATTTGCTGGGGTTCAAATTATAAGTAAGGGCCATACGAGAATAGTTTTCAACGTCTAGATAGGTCATAACAGACTCAAAGTTAAATGATAGACATAGATGTGAATAGAAACCGGTGACCTTATTTATTTGACCTGATCTCGTTATTGGGATTACATTAAACATAATTGCTATAAAAAAATTCATAGAATTAGAATTTCTGGAAATTACGAACCAAAAATATAAACCAATATTTAATTAAAATATTTTACAGTTTCATTTTGTATTAGGTAATTGCATATTTTTGGGATATAATTTTAGATTTTTAGAAAAAACTATCAATCAATTTTTATTTAAATTTAAAAATCGCAAAAAATTCCATATTTTATGTGAATAGTTTTCGAATCCAGTTCGAAAATTGTTCATTTAATATTAATACAATAGACTGCAAGACGGTGTAAAGTGTTTAATTGAGTATACTAGAAAATTTTGTAAAAAATTCAACAATTCAATTAATAAATTTTCAAAAATCAGCTAATCAGCGTAGGAATAAAATGATTATTTAATTCATTTGTAAAAATTCATTAACAACTTGTAATTTAAGCTCAATTATAATTAGATCAATTTAAAAAAAAAAAATTTATACCCATTTTGAAAAAGAGAGAAAAATTCATATTGAATCAGCATAAAAATTAAACTTGCATAATATTAAAACTCTTCAAACTCAATTACAAATCATAAAATGGACTTGGAAGTTTAATATAAAAAAAATTGTAAAATCAGGAAAATTTTCTATTTAGGCATAAAATCGTCACATTAGCAATTCTAAAAATTAACAATATTCTATAATTGAATTTCGGAACTTTTATATTTGTACGGCAATTTTGTTTTTTTGCATTGCATAGGTAAATGAATTTCTCTACAATCCAAAACTCTATGTACACTTATATTGAGAATTTCATTGAAGCTTAAATAATTTATTCATTTATAACCACTACATACACATTGAAAGTAAAAAGCAAAAACTAAAAAAAAATTTTAAAATTTATTCATTCTAAAGGATATTGGGTCATCAGCATAAAATTTGCAATTCAAAAATTGTATAAATTTAAGTTTCTTCTCGAAAACCATATATGTAGATGAAAAAAAAAGTCCTTCGTATTTCTTATGTGTTATTCAGATATTTTGAAAAATTTCATTATTAACACTTAAATTCGCTATATTCATTACATTCGTTTACAATAAGTATTTTTGCTTTCTAATACAAATTATACATAATACGATGTACATATAATTTATTTACAATTTGAGTTCACCTGCATGTGTGTATGTGAAAGTAATTTGTGCAAGTATACTAAAAATAAGATAAGTTTTTTTTTGTTATTTTCATTAAAATTCAATTTTAAGAGAAGTCATGTTAGTTAACATGCATGTGTAAGCAATAATATAGAAAAATTTAAATATGGAGTTCTGGGAGATATTAACATACCTGTAAACATAAGTCAGAGTTGGGTTCAAGATAGTTTTGGAAGAGAGTTTCGGAAGATGTATTTGAATAAATAATGTGAATTTTTAGTTCTGTTCCAAAAAATGTAAAAAAAAATGTTGCTTTCTAAATTTAATTCAGTCTATCCATGCATGGCGGATCTTTTAGATTGTCAAAATGTAGATGTCTTGAACAACATACAAACATTGATGAACAGCTTTGAATGTGTAAAATTTGTAAAAAAGACTTAAAATATATTTTCAATGACACTAATTAATTATTCAATTAATTTGTTATTTTTCTTTTCCCCCAAAAGTATGCAATGGGACATTATGTTACGGTATATCATAAAATATCGGCTCATTGCATACTTTAACAGTGATTTCAAGAAAAATTTTCTTTATTTGTTTTAAAATACAAATTAAAAATTGAAATACAACCCTGATTTCATTTATGCGATACATTCCCTTAGATTAAATATCCCTTGGATTTTATTAATTTGAAAAATTCCCTAAAATTTCATTTACTTGAACATTATAGTTCTTGTTTTTGGTATATAGATTTACATTTGCAAACTAAAAGTGAATTTGCAATCTAGGAGTGAAAAAGTAACTATTAATACAATAAACAAATAAAATTCTTCAAACTCATATAACATTCAAATAAATACCAAACCAGATTGATATCTTTCAGCTCACAGAACAAAGCCTACGTAATATTCAATGAAAACCACAAAAAATTTTAATTATTCGTGTTTAAAAATAATCAAGCTTTATCACTAATTTTAATGCCTTGTTATTGTCATAATATGTACATATATGAAAATGTGTTTATGTATGGTCCTATTGTGAATTATATCAATAAAAGTGTATAATAATTCAAAATTTTTCACTTATAGAATTACTTCAAAATTTTATTTCAAAAATTTTTATGTACAGTCATCAAATGAATTTTCACTTTATTAGGTGAACCAAAAATAAAGAAGAATTAGCAAAAAAGAAAAGAGATTCAATGTACAGGTAAAATATAAGAACTGCTAAAGATATGAGAAACACAGGTATTTATGGTAAACACCAAAAGGATGTAAGCTATAACCACAATAGATTCACTATTTTGAGTAATTTTGGTACAAAACTGAATTTTACAGTTCAATCAATTCTATTTTATGATTTCCTGAATTTAAAATTTCTATGAATTTTGATAATTTACAAGAGTTTTTTATATTTGAAATTTAATTAATAATAATCAAGGACTATAAGAGTTTAGATGTGTAAGTGTACTAATAATATTCAATTTAAATATTTTCTTTTAATTCTCAATTTTAGTTTTTTGTGAAATTTCTCAAAAATTCTCTTTCTGATTAAGTATAATTAATTGTAGGCGAATGCTAATGAAGCATAAATTTTTATAAATGCAAATTTTTTCCAATACACATACATATATACATACATAAAATGTATGCTAATTTTCCCAATTTGTAATTATAAGCTGTAACAGAGGGAATTAAGAATATTTTAGTTTACTTACATTTTAGTCTTATTTCCATTCAAACAAATGAAGTCAATTCGTTTTTATT